GCCCACCCTGCTCCCCCTCTGAAGCCGGGGGGTCGAGTCGACGGCAAGGACGCAGGCGCCGGTTCCTCGGGCGGCGCGGCTCCGCGGGCAGGGGGGGCCCCGGCCACGCAGCCAAAGTCGCAAACTGTGGGCGACGGCACATTGCGACATGCCGACGCACCCATTGCACGACGAAGACAAACAAAGGAAATCACACGACGAAGAGGCCACGGCGACGGCGGGCCGAGTGGAGGACGCGGAACGCTTCGGGGGCGCAATGCGAGACGAACGAGATGACGTAGTGTTCGATGGAGGAATATCCTTCGAAATATTTGGTCTCGGATCGTGTTTCCCGGTAGCCGGCCGATGTGCTTTCCTCCGTTACAGTTCCTCTTTTTCCCAATCGATGCGAAATTTAGCCGTCGGCATAATTTGTCGAAAGAGTTTCCACTTCGTCAAACCATCCGCGGGATTAAGTTCGCGTGGAAACCAGCGACGCTGACCGCCGAGTTTCTCCCAGGAGTCCCGAACCACGGCAATCTTCAAGGCCGCCCGCTTCTCGGTCGAGACAAACTTTTCCCGATTGATGCAATCGGACAAAGATTTCGCTGCGGTCATGGCGATGATGTCCAGATCGGGGCTTTGCCCGATGATCGTCGTGACTCGGATTTATCGGTTCACGGTGCATCGATCGTGGAGCTCGCAACAATAATCCTTCACGATAGATCCACGAGGTAGCCCGCTCTGCCTCAGCCCAACCCTCGGGCGCGGCGTTGGCCTCCACCACCAGGGCATTACCCCCAGCATGCTTAGTCCTATGGGAATGCCACGTAAGGATGCTGACGTCGGCTGCCTTCCCCAACAAAAGGTATTGGTCTGCTGCACCGATCACGCCGCCTGTCTGAGAGCGCCCTTGCCCCGCGCCCTTGAAATCCAAACCAGAATCGCACGGGGCGACTGGGCGGAGACGAGAGAAGGGCATGGACTCGACGTTGATCGTGGCGTCGGCGTCCATGGGGCGTCGCAACGCGGCATTAGCCTCGATGGGACATTTCGCCTTGGAGTTGGGCAGAGTGCTGCTCGGGAGAGATGCGCCCCCCGAACCTTTGGGCGCGCTTTCTCGGCGCGCCCAACTGAGTTCCCCACGCCACCCACGCATAGCTGTAGTCTCCTCTGGTGTGGCCGGTAGTTCAAGACTCTTGCAACGTCCCCGTGGTGAACCAATAGGTCGAGCTCGTTCTGCAAGATGCCGCGCCATAGAGATCGTGGAAGCGATTTTGTATTGTCGCAGAGTGCGCCCGCCATGCTCAATACTCTTCTCCAGGAATTCAACCCATTTTCCGAATTTGAACCGCTTGCGGAGGCGAGAAGTGGCATCGACAAATATATCCCCAATGCCGCTTCCCAATAAATCATCTATTTCGATGGTAGCGAATCCGGAAAATTGCTCAGGGAGTCCGTCCAAAAGTTTCGCACGCGAGCATGACGCAGGGCGCCAGAGGATGGCGGGCAAAGCATACTCCTTGAACGCCGTCAGAAGGCTTCTGCGCCAACCCGGAAGGCCGGCGCTTAATCCATAAAATTATGTCAGAAGTTCAATCGCGAGCAATTCGCCGGGATCCTTGCGGGAATGCCTCCCGCAAGGGGCGAAACAAAACCAGTTTTCGGAGTCCTTGGGCAAAGGCGGACTCGACGACACCGACCAAGACCTTAGCCTTGATGGAAGACAATCACTGTAGAGCAAGAGGTAAATCCGCTGCGAAGGGCGCAGGCACAGCGCGATTCAAACACAGCAATGTCGGGGTCATGAAATCCTCGAATAACCCATATCGAGTTAGCGCCGAAATTTTTGGGGGCAGCAGAACCCTTGAGCTTGTTGTAGCAGTCGGCTCCCTTATCTTTCCACACGTCGTGCCAACGGGAAGGATTAATACGTTTGGGGTCTTCGCGGTGGATTTCTGCAGCAGCAGCTCCCCAGTGAATGCGCACTGCTTTGGTGCCGTCAGGTCCTGCACAGCATATCTCAGACGTTCCTGGGCAGGTTGACGCACCCAGGCCCCGTTCGGCGAGGAATGGGCGAATGGGAGTCGACGTTTCCCCCCTGGGCCACTCCCAGATCGTGGCACCAACGCGCGGGCGCGGTCGCCGTCGGCTCGCGGCGTCGGAGGCGCGGCAGCCGGCAGCCAACGCCACCCCGGGGACGAGGCGCCGCCCGAGTGACGCTTGGCCGAATCCGTTCCCCCCTCGCCCCCCCTCCCCCCCCCTTCCTGCCTCGCCAACCTCCATCCCCTGGCCCCGCCCGAGGCGCCCCAGTCGGGCGGCAGGCGTGCTTGGGGGGGGGAAGGCGCCACCGCCCGCGCGGTGCGTGGCCGAGTTCCGGCCGCAATTGGCCACGCCGCGTGCGAACGGGAACGCTAACACATGCCGCGGGCCCAACACGGTCTTGAAGGCACGCGAGGGGCACGCGAGGGATCCGCGAGGAGTAAGCGAAAAGTACGCGAGAGGTACGCGGGAGGTACGCGAAGGGCACGCGGGGGATCCGCGAGGAGTACACGAAAAGTACGCGAGGGATACGCGAGGGGTACGCGAGGGGCACGCGAGGGGCACGCGAGAGGCACGCGAAGGGAACGCGAGGGCTACGCGAGAGGTACGCGAGAGGTACGCGAGGGGTGACGCTTGGCCCCCCTGCCTCGCCCCCTCCCTCCCCTGGCCCCGCCCGACAGCACCGGACGGGCAGCGCGCGCGCTGGGGGAGGGCGCCACCGCCCGCGCGGTGCGTGGCCGAGTTCCGGCCGCACTCGGCCACGCCGCGTGCGGACGGGAGCGCTGGCACGGGCCGCGGGCCAAACGCGATCTGAGAGGGGCACGCGAAAGGTTTGCGAGAGGTCCGCGAGGAGCACGCGAAAGGTAGATACGCGAGGGGCACGCGAGAGGTACGCGAAAGGTACGCGAGGGATAGGCGAGAGGTACGCGAGGAGTGAGCGAGGGGTACGCGAGAGGTAAGTGAGGGGCACGCAGGGGACACGCGAGTGGTACGCGAGGGGCACGCGAGAGGTCCGCGAGAGGCACGCGAGGACCACGCGAGAGGCGCGCGAGGGGAACGCGAGAGCCACGCGTCGCCGATAGGCCGGCGATAAGCCCCCGACAGAAAAACCGCACGCTCCTGGGCTGTGTGAGGCTATCGTGCCCCTATCAGCGATCAATGAGCGATTCCAGTGTCGATGCATCCCCCCTGGGCGTATCCCCCATAACGTTGCCCCATGGTTTTTCGCCTCATCCCTCTGCTCTCTGGCGGCCGCTCGAAACGATGTTGGTATACCCCGGGAACGCTCTCGGCGAAACGCAGCCAATGGAAGGCATCCCTTCGCTGGGAAAACGCCTTCAAAAATCGACAAAAAACGCCCGAAATCTTTACATCATGAACCTCCGCCCAGGCCTCTCCCCCCCCAGACCCCCGACGTTACGATTTGTTCATGACGTCGACCCCCAGAGGTCTCGACCCGTTCCCACAGACCGATTTTTCATCCTGGGTGTTTTTGTTCACCACCTCCTCCTCCGTCAACCCCCGGTATCCTCCTCCTCCTCCTCCTCCTCCTCCTCCTCCTCCTCTTCCTCCTCCTCCTCCTCCTCCTCCTCCTATCTGCCCTTCCCTCAACTCTCTGATGCTATCTAATCCCCCAGCATCGAGGGGGCAACCTGAAATCTCAGACCTCAAGGGTGACGGGGCTGATGGAACTTACACCCCCCTGTACGTCCCCCACTCACTCCGTGCCGGCAGCGCCTCGGGAATGCGGGTCCGAGATCAGAAACCCACGCAGGAGATCGAACTGACCAATCTCGGGTGGGCGGGTGGGAAGCGCACGTCGCCCCCCAGTGCGTTGTCTCAACCTGACCGAGACGCGACGGCAAGCTGAAGCAGCCATGGGCAGCTGAAGACCGAACACATGTACTATGCAAATCAACTGGCAGCGCGGGGGCGTGACTCCCCGACCAACGAAGGCACTGAACGCGCCGTTGGTTGCCTGCGCCCGAAAACGGCCACTGAGCGGCCCAAGTTGTCCAGGCCCCTGAATGGCAAGGCACTCGCACACTGGCAGCGCGGGGGCGTGACTCCCCGGCCAGCAGGATGCACGCGAACGCGCCTGCTGGATGCCTGCGCCAAGGACGGCCACTGAGCGGCCCTGCACGAACGAGAAATATGAAGACGTTGGGCAGGTGCAAATATCCGAATATCCGAAAGGCTTCGCCCTCCTCCAATTCGTGCCAATCTGCCCTTCCCTCAACTCTCTGATGCTATCTAATCCCCCAGCATCGAGGGGGCAACCTGAAATCTCAGACCTCAAGGGTGACGGGGCTGATGGAACTCACACCCCTCGAAGCGCCCCCTCGAGGCCATCATTCCTCCTATACATCATTCCATCATTCCTCTTATACAACATCGAACATATTCGTCCGCGTGTAGCACTGGGGTCAGGCACAAAATGGCCCCATACTGGATCACTGGACTCAAAGAAGGGGCCCCCAAATGAACGCCTGTTCAGGGGTTCTGAGGCGCCCAGGAGGGCGGGAGATACATTTTCAAGGCGGGGTTGTCTTTCCCCTCAGACGCCGGAGCTTCTTTGGCTCTGGCTCCGGAGGAAGTGGCGGTCGCGAGCGCGCAGCGCCGGCGCTGCGAGTGCTGTCCTGAAACGCGCGCAAGAAACGAGCCTTCATTACATGCGTGCTCGTGTTGGCATATGTGTCCGCCATGGTGCTGGCGGACTTCCAACCGCCCTGCGCCTGCACGAAGGAAGCCGGCAATTGGGCGCTGTGGGTGTACCATTCGGTCCCACCCCTACGAAAAGAGTGGGTGCTTGTCGAAGCATCCCGGAAGAACGACGCCACAGCCTTTCGCCACAGATCCGGGGACACTGGTCTAACAGATGCCCCTGTTGTGCAGAAGCAGGCGACCACTTCAGTGCTGATTTCAGAACGCACGGCGAGCCATTCGCGGAAAATGCTAGCCGGATTCAAACCATGCACCTCGCAATCTGGCAGCCAGCACCACTGCCCTGCGCCGAAGGGGTCGTTCTTTTGCTTCTTGATGTGGCAAGCTATGCAGCCGTCTTCCACTCTTACATCAGACACGCAGAGGGAAATGGCCTCCGAGACGCGGCGGATACCAAAGAACGTGAAAACGGCAATAGCTGCGTCACGAGTGCCGGCTGGAGTGCCTTGCCCCCGACGGCTGGCTACAAACGCCGACAGCTCTGCTAGGGAGATCGCTCTTTTTCGGTAGGAAGTGTGGTCTGCTCGTTTTTTGAGCCCCCTCCAAAACTGGAGGGTTCTGTCATCCCAACAGTTGTCGAAGATGCTGCTGAGATTGTGACAGGAATGCCACGCTTTGACCGCGCACTTATTGTTCTGTATCCTGTGCCAGCTCATTCCGTCCATCGTGGCAAACAACAGCATGAATTTCTCAGGGGAGTCTATCGGCAACAACTTGCTGTCTACGAGCTTCTCCGTTCCGTGGACGTGTAGGCGCAACGATTTTGCATATGCTTGCCGGGTAGATTCTTCCCAGCCTTGTTCCAAGATGCTGTGGGCTCGCTCATTCAACTCAGCCCTCGCAGAGGTCGCCGTTGCCGATGCTGTTGGCGGCAAGGGGCACGAGACCGGGGCGAAACTGAGTAGCTTTGGACGCTCACCCACGCTGAGAGGTGCCGTTTCGAAGAATGCGATGAGGGCTGGCTCCAGGCAGCTCGTCTGGGCACAGGAGCCGGACCCAGGGGGGCTGAAACTAAAGCCATGCCCCATGGCGCTGGGTTGGACGGGCCACCTGCTGTGGGCAGCGGGTGTTGTACTAAATACATCCCTGCTGGCCGAAATGGCTCCGAATGGCCGCGCGCGAGTGGGGCGGAGGCTCGGGGAGTGCATCCTGACAATTGGACGCGTGCTTCCCCGCTGACTCGACGGGGTCCTGGGGCTCGAAACTTTAGCCCCGACGCTTGAAGGACGATGTGCAGTAATCTTCTTTGGGCTGGGGCCCCTCCAGTGTTTAGGGGCACATGTTGGACGCTGGAGCCCAAGGGATGTCGACGTTTGACGTTCGAACTGAACTTTAGCAAGTACCCCGGGCCCGAAAACCAGAACTTGGACACGGGGACCCGACCAACAATGTGTAAATCCCGGCCCTAAGGAATTTGGGATTTGCCGATTCGTGAATCCCCGGAGGGACTATGGCACTTGAGCGCACGAAATTTCAAAAACGTTGGATGGGATCCCGGAGCCCGAAATGTGGCCCGAGGCCAAGTCGGAAGGTTTCGGATGGGACCTCGGAGCCCGACTCCGGACGTGAAGTGCTCAATGGAATTCGACTTCCGGCCATCTCCCGGGTTTGAAATCCGGCGAGGCGCCCGAGTCTGACGGAAACGGGGTAACTAGGGCCTTGGAGCGCTGCTCCAGTCGAGCGGGGGTGGGCGCTTGCGCAAGTCACGCAAGCCTCGAAAACAAGCTCTGGGGCAAGCGTCTGAAATTTAGGCACAGAATCCCCGGGCCCGAAATATACGGCCGGCTGCAGCCCGAGGCGCTGGGTGCCGCACACGCCTGGCCGAGAAGCAACTCCGCATTTCGACACAAGGGTCGAAAGACTTTTCGGAAGGTGTCCCGGAGCCCGAACAACGGGGTCAAGCGATGCAGATATGGCTCTCCAAGGCCCGGGGATACGGGGCATCACTGGTGCGACCCCCGGCGACTCGTCATACAATCCCGACCGAGCGCGCTGGGCAGGCACGACGGCGGGAGTTGCCGCAGGCAGCTGGGTGCGAGATGGGGGCGGGCAGGGAGGGGAAACACAGGGGGCGAGGGGAGGAGGAGGGGCAGGGAGCCAGAGAGGAGGGAACGAAAGAGGAAGGCAAAAGGAAGAGAATTTGCCACCTTATTTCCGCCGGCTTCCGTTGCCCGCGCAACAGCATCCGGAGTTGGACCGGGGCGAGACCCAGCGCCGGCGACCGCGGCCAGATCTCCTCGTCCTCCTCCTCCCCTCGTCCTCCAGCTCCTCGCCGTCCAACTTCCCTCCTCCTTTCCTCCCCGGCGGTTTTCTCCCTTTCTCGTGGAGAACCCGCCAGAGCGACAGACGTGGGAGCCCCCGTTGTTGGGCTCGACTATTATCCCTGGTAGGCGGGGGCTGGACAGTAGGGGGAGGGAGGGGGGGGGGCGAACGGGGCGGAGAGGGCGAAGGACGACGATGGAACAGTGGTACGAAGATAAACTTTTTGGACAAAGCACGATGTGAGCCTCACGTCAGACTGCGTGAGAGCAACGGCTTACATGATACATTGCGCTGCGAGGAGCGGCTTCAGCACTGACGCCGCTCGCCGCGCACTGCCCACGAATCGCCCGCGCTGCAGTGGCTTAAGTATGCACTGAGAGAAGCCAAGCGAGACTCGACAGAGCCACGGGGGCGCTGAACAGGACCGGCGGCAATGACGGCAGAGTCCCCGTACCCCCTCTCGCCCCCTATCCTGATTTCCCTCCCCCGATGGTGGGACATGCCCTAATCTACCCTAATTAGTGTACTTGTCCGGCCAATGGTATGCAGTGACGCCGAGGCGCGCGCACTTCGGGCACGGCGTGCTGGGCTGGTTGCCCAGAGCTTTGCAAGCAGCCAAAGAATGCTTCACCACTGCGCGCGAATTGCGCAGGCAGTGGCGGCAGTACGTATTCATGATGGTGCCAATGGCCTTGCGCTCGGATTCATTGCCCTGGAATTTCGCGTCTATGTACTGCTGCACGGCAGTGGGGGTCTGGCGCCCCATCATGCCAGACAGTTCCGAGAGCATGGCGTTCATGGCCTGCGACTTCTCGGTGTTCCTGCCCTGCTGGGCCTGTCCTTTTCCCTGGCCCCTCTGCTCGCCCGGGAAGCCGCCGGGGCCGCTGCTGGCCGCGGCCGGGCGATTCGGCGCACTGCCCTCCGCCGCGCGGAACCTCTTGTGCGCTGGCCCGCCAGAGGGCCCCCCTGCGAGCGCCGGAACGACGGCAGTGAGAGGCGGGCCTGCGGGCGCCAGGATGAAAGGCGCAACCGCCAGACGGGACAGGCCGATGTTCCAATCCAGAAGGAAATCCAACTTGAGGACGGCCAAGTCCAAGGGCGCCCTCGCGCTGGCCTTCTTGGCGCGGCGCTTGATCGACTTGATCATGGCGAATAAGAGCGGCATGATCTCGTCCCTCTGCGCCTTCATCTTCCCAGGCGACGTCGCCTTCGACGTGGCCGGGCTCACCGTCTGACTCTCGAGGACCAGGAACAAGTGCAGGCACTTGCGCGCCAGAGCGGCCACGGTCCTGTCGGTCGCGGCGGCTTTGTCGGACATGAATGAAAGGAACTTGTCGGGGTTGCCGCCGTGGGAAGAAAGGCAAAGTGCTTTCCATGACGTCTTTGGCGCATTCTTTAACATGACCGCGTTCTTCAACTGTTGGGCCTCGGGACTATCCGGGTTGCTGCACACTGCGGCCATGGTGTTGGCCACTGCGGGGTCGGCCATGAGCTCTGCCGCGTTTTGCAGCCAATCCTTGTCGATGTTCAACTTGCGCCACCCCAGGGCGATCTCTGTGGGGTCGCAGTCCCTGAGATACTTGCGCCAAGGAAACTTATCGTCAAGGTCTGTCTCTTCCTTCGTGAGGGAGGCACTGCTTCGGAGACAGCCTGAGTGCTGTCGTTCTGCTCCGCGGTCCTGAGTTCCACGAACAGGTTGGCGGCAGAAAGCGCCGTGCTGAGGGGCGACTCGAGATCCGAAAGCATTGACTGGATGCATTCGCGGACCCCCTCCTTGACGGCGGTCTGAAACGTCTCTGCAAGGGGCCCGTTCGGAAGGATGGCTGTCTTGAACCAGTCGTTGGCCGCCTCCTCTCCGAACATGTCCGGGGCGACAGAAGCCATTGCAGGGCGTGAGAGGTCAGGTCAGGACAGGCGAGTTGCCTGCCGGTCACTGAGGTCGCCTTGGGCCTGCAGCTGCAGCACGACGGCAGTGCGCAGACACGGATGAGACGCCGGAGCTGGCATGCAATGGCCGCGACCAGGAGGGGCGGATGGTGGGGGAGGAGGGAAAGGATACGACATTATCCGTCCGCGCACTCCCTGCTTTGCTGCTACCCTTCCCTCTCTGCTACAGGGGGAGGAGGATGGAGAAGGGGGGAAGGGAGGCGGCAGAGGAAAACAACGACGACGGTGTTGGGGGAAGAGGGGGAAGGAGGGAGGAAGACGAGGATAATGATGATGAAGATGATGAAGATGATGAAAACGAGCTGAAGGAGATAACGACCTTGATTGTTGATGACTTTTGAATGTACTCAAGGCGTTGACAGCAGCATAATTGGTAGATCAGTAAGAGGGGCCTTACGCCACGTCACAGACGAGCCGTCGCTGCGCCACAACCGGAAAAGGTCGGACCCTTTGGCCCACCGGGCCCTCCGCCGCCAGCGACGCAGAGCAGACGCCCTGAACCACGGCGCGCCCGGGTCTTCCGGAATCAGCAGAAAGATGTTCTGACACCGATCTGTTCGGTGCAGGGACTCCAGCCAAGGCAGGGCGCGAGCTGCTAAGGCGCGCGGCGGGTGGGCCCAGGCTCTGCGAGCGGTGAAACTGGCTTCGAACACTGTGCGCTCTGGGAAGAACCAGTCTGGCGCTTGGGCGCCAATGCCTGCGCGGTCTGCGAAAAGATCGACATCGAAAGGGCCGAACTTCCGCATGGTGTCGTTCATTGCAGCATGCTTCAGAACAGCGTCACGATAGGGGTCGTCGTTCCAGCGGGTCGCAAACATGGAATCCCGCGACCCCTCGTCGCTGACAACATTGTGTTTTCCAGGTAAATGAACTGCCATGCACCAGCATCCGGCTTTACGCTCTGCAAATTCGAAGGCCTCTGCGAGATCTTGCAGGGAAGGAACACGACCAAATCTGAATTTAATGCAATGAACTGCAGCGGAATTGTCGCACCTGAAAACGACGCGCCATCCGCGGAGCCAGTCGCTGTCCTGTAGAAGAACTTGCTTGGCGACCCAGAGTTCTTTGTAGTTGATTGCGTCTGAATTCTCCGCGAGCAGACGAAAGTCATCCGGCCAGACGCCGGCGCGGACGATGCTGGCACCGCAGAGGTGGTAAGACCACCCGTGGAGCTTGGACGCGTCCGTCTCTACTACCCGGACACACCCAGACGAAGCCAGAGCGCGCCAGTTCGCAAAATCCTCTGACTTGGGCCCCCACCTCGACAGAGAGCCAGCTGCAGAGTGCAGGGGCCGGGTGGGAGTTAGGTCCAATGCTTTGATCCACCACTGAATGTGCACCGAGCAATCGGGCGTGAGCCGAAGCAAGGGGTCCGCAGCGGGGCTGTTTGCCCATATGGCATACACGTTGGACGAGTTCAGCAGAGACCAAATGTGGTGCAGACGTCGGCGGCCTTGAAGAAAGACTTCACTGATGTGTGACGCGAGCCCCGCAGCCGAGGCCAAAGCGCGCGCCCGGAGCTCTCCAGTGGCATTCGCTTGCAAGACGTCGCGGAACAGCTTGATGCACTTGTCACACTTCTTCTTTTCGACCGAAAGCTCATTGCGCGACGTATCAAATATCCAGCCCACCCACGTTTGTCTCTGCGATGGTTCCCGCAAGCCAGACGGCTTGCTACTGACGGGAATTCCGACGCGCAGGAAGAATCGCACGGATGCTGCTAGCTTGGCAGCGGCGTCTTCCCTGGACGGCCCGCTGCCCAGAAGATCGTCTACGAAATCTGTAATGCATATGCCTTCGTGCACAACCAACATGCGCAAAACTTCTTTTGTATTTTGATCATTGATCCCGGGGGCTGGTTTGAGTCCCATGGGCAGATACAAGTATTGTCCGTATTGTCGACGCCCGGGAGACCAAAACCCAAATTTGGGCACGTCGTCTTCGTGAGCTTTCCAATTAAAGAAGGCATCAGCAAGATCCAACACAAAAAGCCAACTGCCAGGAGAAATTCTCGATAAGGCAAGATCGATTGTGCCGTGCTGAACTGGGACATCTTGGACGGAATCATTGACTCCGCTGCGAGAGAAGTCAACGATAAGTCGAGACTTGAATCTGTCAAACAAGCAATCGGATATGACATTGTCCCGCTCTTTAAGGACAAGGCCGCAAGGGTTCACGAGGAGACCCGCGGGGACCGAATCCCGAGGGAAGAAGCGAACTTTCCCTAGGCGCTCTAAACGATCCCATTCGTGCTCTGCGAACTCGACGTTGTCAGTCAAAGACTTATAATTGGAGAAATGGCGGGCGGGAGCGGGCTTCGAGAAAACCAGCGGCCTGCCAAACTCCCACCAATGCAGGAAGTCGGGGTGAGCGCCCAAGTCACGGAGCACTTGGAGGTTCAAGCGGATACCGTCTGAGGACGAATACTTGGCATTCGCTTCCCGGATCTCTTGCCGCAGCTGTGCCACAGAATTTGACATGGACGCAAGCCAACGCGAAGCCTGCAGCGACGTGGGCGCCAACGTGAAGCGCACGTCGCCCCCCAGTGCGTCGTCTCACCCTGACCGAGACGCGACGGCAAGCTGAAGCAGCCATGGGCAGCTGAAGACCGAACACATGTACTATGCAAATCAACTGGCAGCGCGGGGGCGTGACTCCCCGACCAACGAAGGCACTGAACGCGCCGTTGGTTGCCTGCGCCCGAAAACGGCCACTGAGCGGCCCAAGTTGTCCAGGCCCCTGAATGGCAAGGCACTCGCACACTGGCAGCGCGGGGGCGTGACTCCCCGGCCAGCAGGATGCACGCGAACGCGCCTGCTGGATGCCTGCGCCAAGGACGGCCACTGAGCGGCCCTGCACGAACGAGAAATATGAAGACGTTGGGCAGGTGCAACTATCCGAATATCCGAAAGGCTTCGCCCTCCTCCAATTCGTGCCACCTCCTCCTCCTCCTCCTCCTCCTCCTCCTCCTCCCGCTTATATTTCACCTCCTCTCCTCCTCCACCACCCGTATCTTGCTTATCTTTCCCTTTCACCCTCCGTATCCGAACCTCAGTGGCCACAGGAACTCCAGGCCACACAGCCCCACCGCTTCCAGGTCGAGCACCCCCGCTTCCAGGGCGGAGCCCCCCGGTTTACGAGGTGGTGTGCGTCGTCGGGATTGCTGAGTTGGGACCTGGAATATGGGGTTGAGTCATCTTCCGATTCTCGTAGGCCTCTTGAAGGCCCTGAGGGAGTCTCTCGACGCCCCGTGGGGACCTCTCGAGAGCTTCTGGAGGCCTCTCGGGAGCGCCCCTGGGAGCCCCCCAGAGGATCTGGGGGCATGTCGGGAGGCACCCTCTCCAAAGAAAGCCCCGCGACCCCTCTTGACACCCTCTTGGGGTCCTATTCGGCCTCCGTGGTGCCGTCTGAGGGCCCTGTTGGCCCGACTTGGGGCCCTGTTGAGCCGTATCGAAGCATCCCTAGGCCGTTTGGGACGCTGCGATGAAGCAAGGAAACGAAGATGTTTAAAATGCGCGTTTTCCAAAAGGAATTAAGCGATGTTGGCCTCCGGGGGCCTTTTGGGGGGACCTTTTGGAGAGCTCTTGGGGCGTCTTCGGGGCTCCATGGCCCTTGTTGAAATAATCTTGAGCCGTTTTGGAGCGCTCTTGGGCTGTATTGAGGCCTCTTGGGCTGTCTGGAGGCCACCGTGGGCTCTGTGGGAACGCTCTAGGGTCGGATCCCTGGAGGCCTCCCAAGGAAGACGCCCCGGGGGGGGGGGGGGACACCGATGTACTGATATACGGTATGTCCGTTTCTCAGCTTGAGTAAGATATGGCAATGGTAAACAATAAACGTCACGGCGTGTATATTCGAGAGCTACCCGATCAGCCCTCCTCGCCGCCGCGTCGAGCTCCCTCGAGCCTCGACCCAGGCGATCTCAGGGTTGCCCCAGCGAAGCTGAAAAGAAAAAGTCGCTCGCGTCGCCACACGCAACCTCACAGAAAACATGCTTGCGCACATGAAATCAGTCGCATTGACTCGGGCGACCTTCGACGAAAATCATGCCTGCACCTCGTCTTTGCCCTCGGGATCGCAAGCCAATTCAGGCTCAAGCAGGTTGCCTGCGACCGCGGGAGAGAGGCCAGACTTGCCCGCAGCCACGAAGAAGAAGAAGGGGAAAAAAAAAAAAAAAAAAAAAAAAAAAAAAAAAAAAAAAAAAAAAAAAAAAAAAAAAAAAAAAAAAAAAAAACTCATCTAGCTCCTGCTGTGCCACATGCTTCGTGCCGAGATCTGCTACATTGACCTTGCCGAGCGTATTGGAAAGGATGACTCGACGCTCGGTCACATGGCGCTGGGGCCACAAAGTCTCCGTCTCGATGTGTCGGATGCGCCCCGCCCCTCGGCGGTGAGCTACCCCGCTGACCGCCGTAGCGTCGCCAGCCAAACACAACTCCAGTTCGCATCCCATGCCGCGCGCCAGCGAGACCAGATCGATCCCACAGGACGCGGTGCACACTAGAGCGCACCACTCGGCCTCACCTGAGCTGAGAGCCTCGCTGCCCTGAGTCGCTGAAGACCTTGATCATGTGGTCTCCCAGCTGGAAGACTCCACAGCTAGTGCTCTTCCTGGTCTCCAGGCAGCCCGCGAAGTCACTGTCCGAGAAGCCCTTGAGCACACCTGACCAACGCTAGCGGCGGAACCTTTGGACCAGCCTGGGGCGGCCCACGAGATACCTGGCGATCATCTTGACTAGCTCCATGCCGTGCTCGCACGGCTGGCGCATGCACTTCGCTGCTTCCTTTACTGCGTACTTGATGTCCGGGCGGTCCTCGCTGAGGTAGCTGGCTCGCATGACCAGGCTGCGGTAGCGAGTCGCCTCCTCGCCCTCCATGACCCTGCCACGATCCACGCTATTGGACTTCGCACCTGGCGTCGAGAGAGCCTTCGACTCGCGCCAGAGGTTCAGCTGCTGCATCATGATGAGCGCGCGGCGAGAGTCCGCCTCGAGCTCCACGTCACCTCTCGAAGTCCAACGGAAGATGCGGTTCAGACAGACCAGCTCCTGAACATCACCAGCACTCTTGTTGGGCCCCAGCATGCCCTCGAGCTTGACCCACATGCACTTCTGCAGCTCGCGGTAGAACTCCAAGTTGTCAGCGCGGGAGCCCTTCAGCACGAAGTTGTCGCCGTAGACGTAGGCCGCCAGCTTGCTGTCGCCTCTGCGGTATATGCAGGGACACCACGCGCCACAGGAGAAACCCATCTTGCCCTCCAGCGTCTCACGGACCAGCAGCTCGAAGTTCTGGCCTGCGTCACGGCAGCCGTAGAGACACCTGACCAGCAGCCCGCGCACGTTGGGGTCAGCTGAGCGGTGGCTCTCCGACGGCAGCTTCACCCGCAACTTCCGCTTCATCTCGCAGTGCGGGTGAGCCCTCGTAATGTCCAGGACATGAGGACGCGCTGGTCCTCCTCGGCGTTCCTGGGCGAGCAGCAGAAGGAAATCAACATCCTGAGTGCCTCATACGGGGGTGTCGCGCTAGACGTCTGCGAAGGGCCCCAAAATCCATGCTCGTGCGGTAGCGTGTCTCTGCCACGCACAGCCTGCAGCGGACGTTGGGCTTGCGGTCGTCACCCTTGTTGACGTCCACCCAGATCATGGGCACCGGGTCGCGCCCGGTCTCCTCGCGGCAGTGCTGCTTGGTGTCTGTCGTACACGTAGGCGCCCAGGCCGCGCAGGAACTCCATCTCCTCCTTGCGGCCGGCTGCCACGAACTCGGGGTCCAAGGCGGCCCCGCTGATGTTGTCGACGATCTCCGTCTAGAACTCCGGGTAGGCGTCCCAGACCTGCGGCTCGTCCAGGTGCGGCCCAGCCCCCAGCTCACCCAGCTGGCCGCGGGCGATCGCCTCACGACGCAGCCCACGCAGCACCGCAGCCACAAGCTTCGGCAGGCACCGCTCGATGGTGCGCACGCCGCGCCGACCTAGACCGACCGTCTGGCAATGCCGAACACACCCAAGACACCGACGCGTCAGCTCCCGGGCAATCTCGGCAGAGTTGGTCAACCACCCCGCAGGCTTCTTGACCAGCGCTGGGCCGATGGCATCATTGCACCACAACCCATACGCACATTGATCACACTCGACGCAGCGCACTCTTGGCATCTCGGCGATCTCTCGGATCATCCAGAGACGCCAACTCCTCGATGATGCTGGCTGCTCGTGCAAGAAAAGGCGGCCAGCCTTGATCTGCTCCTTGTAGCGCTCGGCACAGAAGACCAGGTGGACGATGCCTCGCTCCACGATGGCGTTGACGCCCACACCCTGGACCACGTTGAGGGCCTGCAGGTTCGACCACGGCGCGCACATCGAGCTGCCGGTGATCAGTAGCGGCTGCTCCAGCTCGATCGTGGCTTGCGCCCGCTGCCTGTCGCCCCCCTGGCTAAAGCCGTAGCCGGTCCTGATGTCGTAGGCTGTGCCAGGCTCGAGGTCGAAGGCGCTCGACCGAGACGTGAAACGCCCTGGTCCGCACAGCTCGCTGACGGCCACCCACCAGTCGCCGAAAGCCGCCAACAGCGCACAGAGCTCCAGCGAGTCCGCGCCCATGGCACCCCCAGCTCCAGGCGGCGCCTGCAGAAGCCCGCTCGGCCCAGCAGCCTGCGCCCGCGGCGTGGCTGGCGCCTGCGCTGGCGCCCCCGGCTGCTCACCGCTGATCGTGGGCGCGAGGGGTGCTGGACCGCCTTGCGCCGCGAGGCGGCGCCTCGACGCCTGCGGCAGCTCCGCGGGCGAGCCCCGACGCGGAGCAGCTCGTCGGCCAGGCCGCTCGATCTCCATCGGCGCCTCGGCCGGGCTGGCAGCTCGAGGCGGTGCCCAGGAGCCCTCGCCCTCCCGGGGCGCACAGGCTCCCTGTCAGCAGCCTCCAGCTGGCGGGCCGCTGCTCCGAAGACGCGGGGCGCGAGCTCAGGGTCGTTCGCCATGGCCTGCTGGATGCGCCCACGGCACTCCGAGCTGTGGGCCCCGGCTGCTGCGTTAGCGCGGGCCGCGCGGCAGCCCGGGCATCCATCTGTGAAACCGTACTTGGCCAGCTCCGCGTTCCTGCGAACGTAGACGCTCCGAGGCTCAGCCGGGACCTGCTCTGGCACAACCGTCGGCTGCTGCGCAGCAGGGTCGACCGGAGGTTCGTCGATGACCGTCGGGATGCGAACGTTCTCTGGCCTGTCTGGAGTCGGCGTCCACGGCGCGCCCCTGATCGAAAGCAACGGGGCCGCATCGGCCCGCTGGCTCGGCGGTCTCCTCCTGATCGACCGCGCGCGCACGACCCTGCAGTCGTAGCCGACGAGCATCTCGATCGACGTCTCGATGACGCCCAGGAAGACTCCGATCCCCCAGCGCCCCTCGAACTTGGCGTCGCGCCTCGCACTCGGGAGGAACACGATGATCTCACCGAAAGGCGGCAGCACCTTGCGGAAGGCCTCGCCCTCGTGCCTCTCGCGCGGCGCCCACCCATCGGCGCCGATCTTGCCACGATTGATGCGTCCTGCAGCGTGGGCAACCAGCCAGGTCAACACTGGATGGTCGTTCGAGATGTCTGCGCCGTGCCGCAGGGACAAGGCGACTCTCAGAGACCGCGCTACGCCCTTGACCTCCCTCACTGCTACCTCTGCCAGGCCGTTGCTGGCACTGTCGTAGGCGGGGGCCTCCTCGGGCGCGACCTCGAACTTCAAATTCCTGAGGCGGGTCGTCGCCTCTCGGTTGAGCGCCACCAAAGCACCCTCACCACGAGACTTGTAGATGATCTTCGGGTGGCCGGTCGCCTCCACCTGACTGAAGGCGCGGACCACGTTGCGCTCATGCTGGATGCCCTCGGACGGGAGAACGTCGGCGCTGACCCGCGAGGTGGCCGAGTCGATGCCGACAAGGATGGGAAGCACGGACTGGCGCGACCCCACCTCCCCCCGCTTCACAAGGTATCCGTAGTCCACCGCGAACGTAGGCATAGCACGCGCTCTCCCGGGAGCGCCCGCTGGGTGACCATCAGCACGGCCGCGCCCAGCCAGGCAGCAGTAGCGCCAGTCCCTGAAGGGTACGTGACCTGCTGCTTCGCGTTGCTCGAGCTCTGCCTGAGTAGGTTCCTTCGGCCCACGTCGTGCTCGCACCGGAGCAGGCTGAGACTCGCGACGCTCCCCGACGCCACCCTCGAGCTCGACTGTACTTCCAACTCCGTCGCCCCCTGCCACGGCGTCTCCACCCGGCGGGACAGGGTCGCCTGCGACCGGGCCATAGTGGCTCTCGATGGTCGCAACTTGTCCATCGTCAACTCCACGAGGTACCACTCCTGTCACAGAAGAGACGCCATGCAGCGCAGGACGCCCCACTGCTGGCGCCATCATCGCCAGTCTCACGGCCGCGCCTGCCGCCCGAAAGGGCACAAACGCTTCTTGATATGGAGCCTGTCGCAGCCGCTGCAACCCTCGACCGAGCAGAGCGGCAACTCCTTCACGAGTGTCTGGGACATCTGGGTGACCTCCTCTGCTGGCGCGATGTTCACGCCCAGGTCCCACGCACGCTGCCTCCGCGTGAAGCGGACTGTCTTGCCGCTCTCGATGTGGACGGCGTGGCTGACGTCGTTGCCGTGCTGGCCCTGCTCGAAGACCACGCGATGGCCGCTCTTCACCAGGTCGAAGACCGAGAGCAGCGGTCGCCTGACGCCCGCGACACGGGCCCTGATGCCACGCAACGCACCACCAGTCTGCACCATGAGCTCGCGCTGACCCTCGTCTCAGATCGGCTCACCCGTCGCGCTGAGGTACTGCGCCCCCGACGGCTTCTCCGCGATCGGGTAGTCGGTCCCCAGCGAGCGCGGGATCGCCGTGACCGCCGCGCCCGAGTCGATCCCGAAGCGCACCGTCTCGCTGCTCGGGGACACGGCCGACAGGTCGAGCGCCGCCAGGAAGAGGCCGCCCAGGCCCTCGGGCGGCTCCGGCTCGGCCATCTCGCCCAAGGCGCCAGCCTTCTTTGCGACCGGGCAGTCCTTGGCCAGATGCGCCGTCGAACCGCAGGTCCAGCATGGCTTCGGCTTCGGCGCATCGCCAGCCTTGCCGTCGCACTTGCCTTTGCCACGACCTCGACCTCCACCACCCTTCGGCGGCGCCTTGCCTGACTCAGCCGTCGAGTTCCACCAGCAGTCACGCTTCCAGCGGCCTGTCTTGCCGCAGATCGGACACGGCTTGGTCGGCAGATCATCAGTGCCTTTGCCCTTGCCGGGCCTGCTGGCCTTGCCCTTGCCGCTGCCGGTCTTGCCATTCTTGCCACCCTTGAAACCGAGAGCTGCCAGCTGCTTCGCAAGGGAGTCGAGGTCCATCGGTGCTACACCTGTGCCCGCACTCGCCGTCGTCGCGATCTGGGCCCGCCTGAGGTTCTCCACCTCCGCCTTCACCAGCTCCCACGTGTCGAGGCGCTGGCTGTTGAGCAGCAGGTGGTGCCGTAGCGGGCCTTCCTTGAGCGACCGCGCCAGGATGCCTATCTTGATCTCGTCGGGGAACCCGGTGCTGACAGCTTGCTCGTAGCGCTTCACGTTCCTGTCGAACGAGATCAGCTTCGACGGGACATCACCTTCGAAATCCCACCTTCGAAATCCCACGAGAGCAACTCTTGCAGCAATCCTGCTGCCCGGGTCCGACTCTGAGGCTCATGAAACACAACAAGAGTCCTCCAAGCCTCCAGCCCCTCGTTCACTCCAGCACTGACTATGCGGTCGAGCATGACTAGCATATAGTAGAGCTGGCTGCTGAGTCGCACGTGCTCATCTGGCAACGTGGCGTTCAGCACCGGCTCGTCCGAGTGTTCTGCGTTCTCCATGAGGTCCATCAGGGCTGGCTCGCACGCGCTGGCATAGGCACGGAAGATCGTGCTCCACTCACGCCACGTGCCAGGCTCACCGTTGAAGTCGTGCGGTTTCCCCAGGACCCTCGTGTCGATCAGTCGATTCACTGCTGGCTGCTGGCCACCAGGCTGCTCGGCTGGCTGCTGCGGACCGAGCCCTCGGGCCGCATGAGCCGTAGCCTCTGCTGCCTGCGCTCGGGCCTCGGCCGATTGGGCCTGGGCAGCCAGCTGCTGCATCATCTGCTGTTGCTGCTGCTGCTGCGCCGCCGCGAGAGCCTGCTCGATCTGGGCGACGCGCGCCTCGGCCATCTGCGACTGCCAGGCCGCGCGCCTTGACTATCTTGAAAGCTTTGCCCTCGCAATGCCACCTACGTCTGCGGCGAGCCAGCTTCAGCACGCCTTGCACGATGTTCGCCCAAGCTTTGTCGGGCTTCGTCGAGACCAGCTGCCAGCAGGTCTCGTCCGCGGCTGCTCCAGCAGCGCCAGCGCCTCCCTGGGGCGCCACGGAGGAATGCACAGCGGTATCGCAGGCAGGCCGACTCACAACCTCGCTCCGCGCTACCATGATATACGGTATGTCCGCTTCTCAGCTTGAATAAGATATGGCAATGGTAAACAATAAACGTCACGGCACGCATATCCGAGAGCTACCCGATCATGTACAAGCGTGGTCCTGGCCCGGAGCCCCGGGCCAGGGATCTCCCATATATGTATGTGAAGACATATACACACGCAAACACATATACATATACACACGTGCATCTATAAATATATAAATAGAGAGCGAGAGAGAGAGAGAAAGGAAAAAAAAAATCGCCGGCCCAACGGGCCAGAGGCGTGCTAAGATCTCCGGTAACTGCTCAACGATATTTCTAGTTCGCGCGCGCGCGGGGCGGGCCCTGGGGGTCCCCGGACGAAAAGTACCCCGGCAAGGTCCCGGCAAGGTCCCGGCAAGGTCATGGCAAGGTCCCGGCAAGGTCCCGGCAAGGTCCCGGCAAGGTCCCGGCAAGGTCCCGGCAAGGTCCCGGCAAGGTCCTGGCAAGGTCCCGGCAAGGTCCCGGCAAGCCCTCCAGACGGTCCAAGAGTGCCGGGAGACGCCGAAATATCACTCCCAAACGCCTGCGATGGCCTCAAGACGGCCCAACAGGCCTTCAAGACGCCCCAAGAGGTCCCTAAGCGGCGCCCCAAGAGGGCTCCCACTAGCAAAAATCGTACCATTCCCTTAGGAAAACGTGCATGTTTAACATATCCGCCTCTTCGTCTTTCACATCTTTCAAGGCGGTCGAAGAGGCCCCCAAGATCACCCCAAGACGGCCCGAGAGACCCTCTAGACCGCTCAAAGACGGCCCAAGAGCGCTCCAAGAAGGCCCAAGAAACCCTCAAGAACTCTTTTTCGGAGCCCAGGAGGGCTCCAAATCGGTCCAAGAGGGGCCCGAGAAGCTCTCCAGACGGTCCAAGAGAGCCGGGAGACGCCGAAATATCACTCCCAAACGCCTACGATGGCCTCAAGACGGCCCAACAGGCCTTCAAGACGCCCCAAGAGGTCCCTAAGAGGTCCTTGAGCGGCGTCCCAAGAGGGCTCCCACTAGCAAAAATCGTCCCATTCCCTTAGGAAAACGTGTATTTTTTAACACATCCGCCTCTTCGTCTTTCACACCTTTCAAGGCGGTCCAAGAGGCCTCCAAGATCACCCCAAGACGGCCCGAGAGACCCTCTAGACCGCTCAAAGACGGCCCAAGAGCGCTCCAAGAAGGCCCAAGAAACCCTCAAGAACTCTTTTTCGGAGCCCAGGAGGGCTCCAAATCGGTCCAAGAGGGGCCCGAGAAGCCCTCCAGACGGTCCAAGAGAGCCGGGAGACGCCGAAATATCACCCCCAAACGCCTACGATGGCCTCAAGACGGCCCAACAGGCCTTCAAGACGCCCCAAGAGGTCCCTAAGCGGCGTCCCAAGAGGGCTCCCACAAGCAAAAATCGTCTCATTCCCTGAGGAAGGCGTGCATGTTTAACATATCCGCCTCTTCGTCTTTCACACCTTTCAAGGCGGTCGAAGAGGCCCCCAAGATCACCCCAAGACGGCCCGAGAGACCCTCAAGACCGCTCAAAGACGGCCCAACAGCGCTCCAAAAAGGCCCAAGAAACCCTCAAGACGGTCCAAGAGGCCCCAAGACGGCCCCATGATTGAGGTCCACAGGGGCAACCTGAACGGAAAGTTTGAGCCTCCCGCCCAAACGCGCCCCCGAAATGCCCCTACAAGCCCCCAAGTAGCCCCACGAAGCCCCCAAGAGAGCCCCAAGAGGCCCCCAACAGGCCGCAAGAAAGCCCCAAGAGGCCCCCAAGAGACCCCCAGGAAGCTCCCAGGAGGCCCCCAAGAGGCCAGGCAGACCCCCCCAAGAGACCACCAAGAGGGCCCACCCAGAGCCATCCACGAGGCCTCCCAAAGTTCCCAAGAAGCTCCCACGAAGCTTCCAAAGACCCCCAAGACCCCCCAAGACCCCGCGATGGCACAATACGGGCCGGCGGAATGAGCGAAGCGATTCAATATGCAAGTCGGAGGTGAGGGGGTGAGATCGAAGTGGAACGGAGAGCCCCCCTACCGGCAAATCGGTTTCGGTTTCGTGTTCGTGCGTGCCGTGTGTGCCGGCGAGGCGAAGCTGCGTGGGCGGGCGAGAAATGTCCCGCCTCTGGCTGGGGCGCGGCCGGACCAAAAGTCTCCCTTCCGGCAACCAATGCGACGCGGTGTCCCGCCGGTGTCCCGCCGGCGTCCCGTCGGTGTCCCGGTAATGATGATGATGATGATGATGATGATGACGACGATGACGATGTTGTTGATGTTGTTGATGATGATGATGATGATGATGATGATGGCCATGGTAGTGATGATGATGGTGTTCGATGGTGATGATGATGATGACGATGATGATGTTGATGATGATAATGTTGCTGATGATGATGATGATGATGATGGTGCCCCGATGATGATGACGATGATGTTGATGGTCCTGATGATGATGATGGTGATGATGAAATGTTGAGATGATGATGATGAAAATGATGATGATGGTGTCCCGATGATGACGATGATGATGATGATGAGGTTGGTGATGATGCTGTTGGTAATGATGATGGTGATGATGATGGTGCCCCGAAGATGATGATGTTGATGATGATGGCGATGATGGTGTCCCGAGGATGACGATGATGTTGATGATGAGGATGATGATGAGGTGATGATGATGATTTTGATGGTGGTGGCCCGATGATAATGATGATGAAGCTGATGTTGATGATGATGATGATGGTCTCCCGATGATTATGAGAATGATGGTGATGATGATGCTGGTGGCAACGATGATGGTGTCCCGATGATGATGTTGTTGATGATGATGTTGCTGATGATGGTGTCCCGATGAAGAAGATGTTGATGATTTTGTTCATGATTAAGATGAGATGAAGAAGATGACGATGATGGTGTCACGATGATGATGATGGTGTCCCGATGATGATGATGTTGATGATTCTGATGGTGGCGATGATGGTGTCCCGATGATGGTGATGATGATGCAGGCAATGGTGGTGATGATGGTGCCACGATAATGATGATGATGATGTTGATGATGCTGATGTTTCTAATGATGATGGTGACCCGATGATGATGACGTTGATGATCATGATGATGTTGATGAAGATGAGAAATGATGTTGAATATGATGATGATGGTATCAAGATGATGATGATGATGAGGTTGATGATGATGATGTTCATGAGATGGTGATGGTTATGATGGTGTCCCGATGATGATGTTGATGATGATGACGATGATGGTGTTCGCTGATGATACTGTTGGTGATGAGGATGATGAAGAGGTGATGATGATGTTGATGATGGTGGCCCGATGATGGTGATGATGATGCTGATGTTGATGATGATGGTGTCCCGATGAGGGTGATGGTGATGATGATGGTAACGATGATAACGGCGTCCCGATGATGATGATGTTAACGATGATGCTGCTGATGATGGTGATGATATCCCGATGATGATGTTGACGATGTTGTGTTCATGATGATGGTGAAATGATGATGATGATGATGCTGATGGTGGTGTTCCGATGGTGATGACGGTGTCCCCATGATGATGATATTGATGATGATGGTGACGCTGATGGTGTCCCGATGATGATGATGTTGGTGATGATGGTGATGAGGTGGTGATGATGACGATGGTGTCCCGACGATGATGATGATGATGATGTTGGCGACTCCGTGGCCAGACGATTCTTTTTGCGCAAGAGGGCGCCAGGCGAGGACACGAAATCTGATGCCGCAGGGGCCAGCACCAGGCCAAAGAAACATTCTTGAGTTGGGAACAAAGGGGGGGGGGGAGAGACTTGAGAATGGAAGCGCGGCCCGAAAGAGAGCCACAAATAGCAGCGGGTAGCATAATGTGGACGACTCCGTGGCCAGACGATTCTTTCTGTGCAAGAGGGCGCCAGGCGAGGACGCGAAATCTGATGCCGCAGGGGCCAGGACCAGGTATTATGGCTAGTCCAAGACACTGGCTGAAAGCCGCAATACTTGAATGAAAACTCACACACATCTAGATAGTCGGGAGACGTATCGGAGGCTATCGACACTGTTGGCCATCATTTCACATGCGAATCGTAGGATACAGACAGGAGGGTGGCGCGCAGCGCTGCGCATCTGACGGTCGAACGACGGGATGCCTAACTCGCCGAGATGTCGCTTCCGAGTGCGACGGCACGGCGAGGCAACAGGTGAACAGGTCAGGGATAGCCTATCAACATCCTCCACGTTCCAGCTTACAAGACGAAATCTGTTTTTGACGCGGCCAGAGCACATGCAGGAGTCGAAAACTGTCGAAGAAGAACTCTGGCTCACAAGAGAGGTGCACGCACGGCCATCCCATGTAAAAGACGCGGCGGGGTGGCACAACATGGCGGGCACTTTCTTACCACAGCATTCAGACAGGACGTGCAAGTACTGATCCTGGAAAAGGTTGGCGATGCAAACAGATCGAGCTTTAAAGTTGGTCAAGGTCGGGAGGCCGCGAGGATATAACTTGGAACGCACAGCAGGCGAATGACGAAGCCAGGTGGCGGTGTCGGGTTCCACCCACACGCACGAGATGCAGCTAGAACGAATCCAGCATAAAACGCGCCGCATCACTGCGGGATCGGTGATGTCGCCACCTGCGTGGCGACTCGTGTCGAGGTGCACGACGCCGAAGCCCATCCGCTGCAGGGCGCGGGCCGCCCCGCCGTCGCAGCCGAGCACCAGCGCAGGGCAGTGCCTGCTTCTCGTAGAAGCCCGCCTGGCAGCGCGCCACAGGCGCGTCAGGCGAAGGCCCGCCGTGCAGTGATCTGTGGGGGCGGCGGCCCGACAGCCGGCGGCGTCGGCGTCACTGCCAGTGGCGCCTGCAGTGGGAAGACGCCCGAGGTCGTGGTCTGGCGGATGAGGCCGTTCATCTGTCTGTCCACCTGCTCGTTGAACTCGGCGATGTTCTGGCCTAGGCTGGCGATCCGCAGCTGCATGCGGGCCCGCTTCGCGAAGCGGAGGGGGATCTGGTCCGTCCTCAAGCGGACGCGGCCCTTGACCTCGTTCGCCGCGCGCCTGAGCGACAGCAGGACGTCGGACGCACCCCCATGACGAAGCGAGTAGAGAATCAACTCGGTCTCCAGACCGAAGGCGGCTGCTGCTCGACGGAACATGCTCCGCACCTCGTCGGGGGCAAGGGTCCAAAGGCCGTCGGTCGGGCCCTTGTCGTGCACCAGGGCCGCCAGGAGGGGCCAGATGGTCGGGTTGTCGACCATCCCGCCCTCGTCCATCTCGCCTGTCTTGCCAGGGCGGTCGAGGCAGGCGTCGTTGACAATCTGGGCCCAGTGGCCGTATCCCAGGGCGCCGTCGGGTCGAGGTCGCATCACGCTCCCCGCCGCGAGGCGGTAGGCCTCGCTTGGCCTCAGGTAGGTGTCGAGCATCAGCCTGGTGAACATCGTCATGCCGAAGAGCTTCCACGCTATCAGGACGCCCACGATGGATGCCATCGCAACTCGAGGTAGAGGGGGTCGCATCAGTGGGGGAACGAGCTTCCGCCAGCCTGTCAAGGCGCGAGCCGCCCGTGGGCGCGGAGTCCTGCCAGCAAGGATCGCGGGCAGGTAGTGCTCCAGAGCGGGCGTGGGTACACGGCCCGTGGCACTGTCGAAGCCGTCCAGAAAGAGGTTCACGAAGTAGGTAACTAGGATGACATCGACCTCCTCTGCCGTGGCGAACGTCTGGGACGCCGAGCGGCACCACTCCTCGAACTTTCTGGCGGCACCCCAGTAGTTGGCCATGGTCGTGTCCGACACGGCGGCCGTCTCCAGCACCGACAGGGCCCCTCGGGCGAGCAGCACGGGCCCAGGAAGGGTCCTGGTCCTCTGCTCCGCCAGGGTCGTGGTCCGCTGCCGTCGACGTACGGGATGCATACGCCTGGTGCTCCTCAAAGGTCGGCCCGACGAAGAAGCCTGTCCTGGACGGCGAGTCAGCGGCATTGCTCTCACTGGGGATCCACCGAATGGCGTGGCGGATGCCCGTGGCCGCCGACAGTGCGCATAGTCGGCGTAGAGGGTCGCGGAGGCCTCGGGCGCCAGAACGGCCCTTGCCAGCGGCAAGAGCTAGAGCCAAATTGTCAACGGTGAACCAGATGCGATGATGACGAAGCCGTCCAGACCGAGCCGAGTGTCGCATCGCAAACCCGAGAGCCTCCGCCTCGTATCGCATCATGTCCAAGCCGAACCTTGAGTGACGGGAACTGTGTATCGTGGCCCAGCCGTCGGCAGCCGTGATCGAGTCGGGAACCTCATCGAAGCCGTCGAGGGAAGCAGCGTCAGCGGGATGATGTAACGATGATGCCGTCGACGGAGGGCCCCCAGGGATCTTAGGAGGCTTCGGACTGAGGCGGCATTATTCGAAGCATTTTTTGTCCACGGTAGCTTCTAACACAGAGCGAGGCTCGATCCCGAGCGCGTGGGCACGGGCGTGCACGGCGTCGGAGAACCGATAGCGCCACCTCTCAGACAAACGCCCAGCGGCCGCGGCGACCTCCTGGTCGACGGTCTTGCGGCAGACCCCGATGCCGTAGGGGAGGCGTCGCTGCAGAAGGTAGTCGCCGACCACTCTGCTCTGACGTCGGCCCACCATAGCGGTATGAGGGCGGCCGCCGCGCGCAGCTCGGCGATGATCGACGGCCACAGCGGCGCGGCCACTCGGGAGTCCAGGCCCATGAAGCGGTAGACTGAGTTGAAGATCGACAGCATGGGTCTATTGGTGATCATACCCCACGTACAGTGACCCACTACTGCTGACAAAGCCAGAGGCGATGCAAAGCCACGTCTAAGTAGACCAAGCAAGGTTTGACGCAACCGGCAGAGCCTATCGATCTTACAGCGGACGATGCCGACGTCGCCGAGGATGTCCAAGCCAGTGAAGACCACGCGCTTGGCGGCGGGGGCGAACTCGTCGACGGGCAGGCCCCTCGACACGAGCACGTCACGCATGGCCTGGCAGGCCGTCGTGGCCACCTCGGGGCGAAGGGACACGGCGGCGAAGTTGTCTACGTAGCCCGCGCCGACGACGTCGGAATCCTTCCGCAGCGGAGGGATGGCAGCGCCGTCCACCAGCGCGGAACTCTCGTCGATTCCCGAGTCGAGGATGGCCGTGGTCAGGGCGGACTGGCAGAAGTGGAGGGCCCACGACCAGCCCATCGGCATGACGGAGACGAACGGCTGCAGAAACGCGTTCGTCCCGATGTCCACGCCGTTGAGCCGCTTGAAGCCCAAGTATCGATTCGGGACGACGGGCAGAGAAAAATATCGATGCAGATGTGGCGGTAGCTTCACATGGTAAAATGCGCACTGAATGTCCCCCTGGGCCACGTAGAAGTCGCGGTCGGCCTCGAGTGCGCTCCATGCCGACGGAGTCGGCAATCTCGTAGAAGGAGGGGCCGAGAAGGACATGTCGGCCACCCGCGTGTCGAAGACGAGCCGCAGGTTGACGCCGTTGGACTTCTCGACGAAGAAAAAGCCAGTAGAATAGGTAGCCTGACGATCGGCGACCTCCCACTCAAGCATGCCACCCTGGTCCAGGCGTAGCAGAAAATCTGCATACTCCCGAGGCCGAAACCGAAGGCGTGGATCCACATAAGGCGACCCCAGTCCCGAGCCCTTCCTGAGAGCAGCTGCATCAGCGGGGTCACGTAGCATTTGATGCCTCCACCCTGACAACATAGAACGATCAGCTTCAGACACGAGGTCGGCCGTCGGGACGGGCGCCACGTGCTTCGGCCAGGAGACGAGCTCCTTGTTGTAGGGTCTTACCCGAGACTCTCCAGAGTACCCAGGCGCCGATGCGAGCAACTCTGCGAGGGCTGCCTCGCATCTCGCGGGAGATTCAGAATGCCCAGGAGATAGTTCAAAATCGCGATACTGTTGAGCAAGATACTCCTCAGCGCCACTACGAGCGCGTGGAGGAAGACCAGGAGGCGGGCTGATCACATCGTTCGGGTCGCAGTGGTACATGTCGTTGAGAGTGGACACCGCGTCGTTGTACCACTCACGCCAAGCAGCACCTCTGGCGACCCGTCTGCGGGCCGACCCGCCCATGGATGAAGTGCCCGATCTTCGCTCCACAGGTATAGGATGGAGTGGAAAAGCGTCTCGCTGCCGAAGGGGTTGAGCAGCGAGGGGGCAATGAGCCTGACTGGCGCCACTGTGGCGCGCCCCACAGCCAGGCCTGAAGCTCTCAGGCGTCATGGCGCCCGCAAGGCCCGCTCCTCGCGAGCCTTGCGGCGCTCCTGGCTGATGGCGGCCTCCGCCCTCATCTGGTCTGCGATGTACTCCAGCAACTTTGGTGAGATGCAGAGGTTGGCCTTGGAGACGCCTGCGCCGAGAAAGTAGCGAGTCTCAGGCGAGCTGGAGGTCCCAGCTGAGGCGCCGCCTCTGGCCGCGGCCTTGGCCTTGGGGGCTGCGCCGCTCGGAGGCGCCGATCGCGTCTCGCACGCCCGCTCCTCCAGGAGCTGGAGCTGGCGAGCGATGATCTCGAACGAGGCCATCTCGGCGATTTGCAGCTGGTCGTACACGACGGCGAGGTCCAGGACGCGGCAGAGAGTCTCATGGAGCTTCGCGTGCTCGTCCTCGTCGGGCAACGCCATCGAGGTGAGCCACCTCTGGTGCCACGCTGTGGGCGTACCCGCCATCGCCGACATGAAGGACAGGCACCAGAGGAGGGTCCTCGGCCCTTGCACAGGCCAGCCCTGCACAGGCGTCTCCGAGAGGGCGTTAACGGTCTCACCGAACCTCCTCTCGCGCTCGCCCCTCTGGTTGAGCTGCATCGGGAGGGCCCTGAAGTCTCCGACGGGGGCGGGCGCCACAGGGGCGGCGGCGGGAGGCGCAGCCTCCACTGCAGGTGCTGGCACCAGCGGCAAGGCCCCCACGGGCCCAGGCGGGGCGGCTCCCAGCGCAGCGGCCGCGGCCGCGGGGGGCATCGCCAGCGGGGCCGCGGCCCCCGCAGGCGGCGGCGCCCCTTCCCCGCCAGGAGGTGGCGGCAGGGCCGCAGGCGGCAGGGCGGCGGCCGCCGCAGGGTCCGCCAGCGGGAAGGGACCAGGCGGGGCGCCCGCCACGTTGCCCGCCGCGAGCGCCAGCGGCAGAGGGTCGGCAGGTCTCGGGTAACCTGCGGCCGCCGTGCGAGCGACCGCCGCCCACAGCTCCGCGGCCGTCGGAAGGCGGCGGAAGCGGTGCACCGCGACGCCCGCCAGGGCTGGCGGCGTGTCGCCCTGGCCCGCGAGCTGCAGGACCGCCCGCACGTCGGGGCCGACGACGATGGGCTCGTCGTAGTCGTCGAAATCAGGAATGAGGATGTAGGCGAGGCCGCCGTTGACGCCGAGCACGAGGCGCTCGTGCCAGGGGGGTACGCCACCGACGCGGTAGCGCAGCACGTGGAAGCTGCCCGCCATCACTGCAATGCTGGGGCGCGGCCCCGAGCGTCACGGACCTGCTGAGCCGCGAGGGCGGCGATGTCGATGCCGTCAACGATCTCCACCACGGCGGGCGGCTGGTGGGCCGAATGCCCGAGAAGCCGCCGCGCCGCCCAGGCGCCTCCCACGGTCCCGACGGCGAGGCCGACGGTCAGCGCGGCCACCGCGTAGGCCGTGACGAGGCCCAGGCACGAGGGCTCGACCACGTGCCCGCCCGCGCCCGCGCAGACGCAGGCGGGGCAGGAGAAGGTCGGAGGCGCGGGGCAGGCCAGCTGCGGCGAGCAGGCCCCGCAGCTCGGCGCGGCGGCCCGCGCCACGACTGTGGCCCCCAGCGCCAGCGCCCCGTACCTCAGGACGTCCGCCGCATGGTGGGCGATGTCTTGCATCCCTGAGCAAGACCCTGAGAGACTTGAAAATGGAAGCGCGGCCCGAAAGAGAGCCACACATAGCCGCGGGCAACATAATGATGATGACGTTGATGACGTTGATGACGTTGATGTCGAAGATGATGATGATGATGATAACGTTGTTTGTGAGATCGATAGTCGTATTGATTGTGAGATCGATAATTAGTGAGACCGAATGTGAGATATATTGTGAGATCGATAGTGAGATCGATTGTGAGATCGATAGTCATATCGATTTGATATCGATCGAATGAAATAGATCGAGTCATGTCGATTGTGAGATCGATCGAGTGAGATCGATCGAGCGAGACCAATAGTGAGATCGATAGTAAGATCGACAGTGAGACCGATCGAGTGAGACGTTGGTTCAAGAGGGGGGCGTCCAGGAGGGGGGGTCGCAAATCATGTCCCGAGACACGTGCGCGGCCCAGGGTGGGACAGGGGATGCATTTGAAGAAGGAGGGTGCTACGAGATCCAGGGACATATCATGGCCCTGGCCATGGTATCAACACCCCTTGGTCATCATCGCCCTACTCTTTGCCGCCCCCGAATGAAACGATGCTGACCCACGGCCCGAAGCCCTCCCCCCAATGAGGCGGAGACTTCTGGAGGGACGCTGGCGGGCCTCTGCCAGGCAGCGGCCGCCGCCACTTGCGGCGCGAGGCGCCTGCCGGGCGGCAGCCGGGGCCTTTCTGCCCCCTCGGCCAGAGGTGGCGCCTGCGCGCCCGCGGGCGGGCGGCTGCCGAGTCACTCGGGGGCGACGGACACGTCCAAGTGCGGGATGCGCCGGCGTAGCTGCTGCTCAGCCGCGGATGCCCCAGGGGTGGCGGGGCCCAAGGCAAAACTCGCTGCGTTCGGTGGGGTGATCCTTCCTCGGGAGCACGCCAGCATACGGATCCGTGGATCTGGCGCTGGCTATTGAGCACCCCCGACACATGAAGCCAGTGCCGCCACCTGATCTGGCGACGGAACCTGTCGACTCTGCACGGAAACGGGACCGGTCGCTAATCCACGCACCTCAATCCATATTTGCGATTCCTCGACCCCTCCCCCCCCGCCTACTCTCCTCCAACCCCTCCTCTGCACAAGTACTCCATATGCGTGTAGCTCTCCTCTCTCCCCTGACGATGTGCCCGCATGCTCGAGCCTCTCCCACACGTGGCTTGTCCAAACATGCAGGAAGTCAAGAGTTGATATTACGTTTGTCTTTGCAATGGCAGCGTTCTCGGTCCTTCAAACATGGTGCTCCCGTTGCAGCGTTGGCCATGTTTCCAGATCGGTGATGTGCTCCTGTTGCTGAGAATGGCGCTCTCGCCCAAGCGCGGGCCACCGTCCTGGATCCAATGCCTTCCTCGTCGTTGCAGTCCCCTCCGTCCCCCCATCTGCCTTCACCTGACCCTCCTGATCCTCCTCCACCTGCATCCGCCTGCAGCTGCACCGTACACAAAGCCCGTTCCCGATTGCACAGCGATCGATCGGTCAACTCCTGCAGCCTCCATATGGGAATCAAGATCATCGACGACATCCAAGTCGGTAGATTGAAAAGGATTCAGCGCAGTAAGAAGGAATGAGTGGGAGGGATTCGGTGTTGTCAAAAGTGGCGCGAGCACCTAGCTTGCCCTCTCCCTTTATCCCCTCCAGACCCCTTCTAGAACGGGAGAGGTCACGGGGGAGGAGAAGGGATGCCGCAGGGAGGCGGGCTGATGTTCGGTGGTCCACAGACGAAAGCAAAACGACGAACGATTCAGATAATGCAAGTCTGCGCCGAAGAAGAACTCTGTCCTAGGCCAGCTGGGACGTGCAAGTCCCACGGTTGGACCAGGGAGGGGTTCGACTCTTTAACCGCCCAAGGAAAGAAGTCCACCCAAAGCAGAAAACGATATATGATGCCGCCCTCTGTCCGCTGAAGCGGGGTCGCTGGTCCAGCAGGGCAAGTACAGGTCGCCACCCATGCTGCCCTCGAGGTTCAAGGCAGGATAGGATAGGATAGATGCAAAACTGTGCTCTCTCTCTCTCTCTTACCTCCTGCTGCTCTTCAAGCCAGGCGCCAGATTTGGGACCCCAGAAGGGGGAGGCACTGAGCGGTTGGGCACCCTCAAGAGGGCTCCGGGGAGCGGCAGCCTCACACATTGGCGAAGCCTACTCCGACGATGCAGTCGAAACCAGGCTGACAGCACTCTAGACCGGCCATCCAACCTATACCCACATCGTCGAGCGGATCAGCTCCACAGTGAAAGCAGCACACTGCCACACTACCCCACCCCTCAAGCCCAACCTTCCAAGCGACGGTGAATGCCAGAAGGCTTCCTCCATATTTCTCCACGACATGCCTCTCGGCAGAGACAATGGTGGCAATGCCGATCTCGTTCATCATGGCGCTTTCTGGACGCGTCTTTTCTCATTTCCCCTCTGAACATATTCCTTCACCTCCTCCTGCTTCTCATGCTTTTCTGCGCATGTCGCAAAGCATGAGCTCGAACACGATGCCATCGCATAAATATCGGGCCCGCCCGCTGGTTAGCGGACTAGCATTTAGAACCGCACTGGCTGCATGGACACACAGCACTGTCCAATCAGTGCGTGGGAACGATACTATGAGCGAAGCAGGATGCTCTGACCCAGTATGCAATTGGCGCACGCCCGCCACATCGAATGCGCATGCGATGCCCCCTCCCCGTCCCCATCAGCGAGAGAACCAAAATACGTGCCCCCACCATGCGGTGGGCTGTACTTGTCATGATCGCCATCCCCATTGCTGTTTGTGCGGTGTTCACGGTGCCCCTCCCTGCGCCTCTCCCCCGCAAACCAGAGTGCGAGCACACGTCGATGTGCAGCGTGCCACGGCCGCGATACGCACATTCCTGACACCTGCGAAGGTCGAGCTCGGCCAGGCTCCGTGCGGGGGAAGCACGTCCACCTCCACGGCCTCGCGGTCTGGCCTCCTCGGCCGCGCCCCCGTGGACGTAGGGCCACTGTTGCGCGGATGCTCTGCGCGGCACGTATCCATGGGATTGCGTATCCGTTGGATCGCGCCTCGGTGTCCAGACCGCGAGGGTATGGCTGTGGATACGTTCGTCTATCCTGGAAACTCATCGCTCCGACTGCTCCAAACACCAAAGCACGAGACCCCGCCTGCGAGCGCGCACGCGGCCCGGAAGGTGTCGGACGGACTCAACTCCCCAACGGCGTCCGCAAGAAGATCAGAGAACTGCCTCACGGTGAGCCTGGGCGAAATTGCTGGTTGTCGCCCCACCCCCGCGTAACTTTGGAGAAGAAAGAGGACGAGAAAAAGGGCGATCACTACGCATGAGAAATATACGCGTGCATTCCGTAACAAGAGACAAAGCAAACAACGGCATGCTTGTCATGTATGGCACTGGCCTGCCTCTCAGGGTGACCCCACTCTGGCTCGAAAGTCAGGCGGAGAGGAGAACGATGACGAAGAGAGGGGGGGACAAAGAGAGGGGGGGACAGAGAGAGAGAGAGGCGAAAACCAGACGGCGGCGAACCCGGGCGGTGCGCCCAGGATCGCTCAACCTGCGCTCGAGGGTCCTAAGAACAAATGCGCTGGCCTCTCTGTGGGGTTGCGAGCGTCCGAGGCCGACCAACCCCCTACTCGAAGCTAAATTCCACCAGACAACATGATAGTTTGAGAAGGGAGGGCTGGGTGCCAGCCCTCCAACTTGCGCCGCCCACGGAAGCCTTGCCAGGTTCTTCCATTCCCAAGGCGGCCGACACAGCTCGAAATGGACCAATCATGGATTCCAGCTCTTGCGAGAATCCCACAAGCCGCGGCGAAGCCTAAGCTGCCCACGGAAACAAAAACATTGAAAGCCCCTGATACACATGCTTGAACGTATGCATTTGTATACATATATACATGTATCACAAGCATGCGTATATCTATCTTTATATGTATACAAGAGGCACGTGTGTGCCCAGGCTCATACAAAACATGAAAGGGCGTTTGAAGCAGGAATACACCATGGCGGTGGGATCGGAGATGGAGACGGGGAAGCTGGGGCGGCGCCGCCAGGGCGTGCCTAAGAGAAGGGGAAGAGGCAGGAGGCGAACGCAAGAACAATCTAAGATCGAGAAAGAGCACCCCCAAAAGGATTGGGGATCGAGCAGGAGGATCGACGAGGGCAATGCCTCTCCGAGGTCAGCGTTGCGAGGATGTCTCAGGCGAAAGTGGCCTGACCACCTCAGCTCAAGGCATCTGGGAACCCAGAGTTGCGAGGAGAGGATGTCTCAGGCGAAAGTTACCTGAACACCTGAGTTCAGAGCATCTTGGAACCCAGAGTTGCGAGGATCCACCAGGAGGCCCCAGGAGGCCCCAGGAGGCAGGAGGCCCCAGGAGGCCCCAGGCGGCCTCAGGAGGCCCCAGGAGACCCCAGGAGGCTCCAGGAGGCTCCAAGAGGCTCCAGGAAGCCCCAGGAGGCCCAGGAGGCCCCAGGAGGTTCCAGGAGTTCCCCAAAAGGCTCCGAGGCGGAATCTGGGGTACCAGAAGGCACAGAAAGCCCCAGGAGGCCCCAGGAGGTTCCAGGAGGCCCCCAGGAAGCTTCGAGGCGGGGTCTGTGGTACCAGAAGGTACGTCGGACCTCGATTTGGGGAGGATGTCTCTGGCGAAACCGCCATTCTCTGAGAATCGGAGTCCAAATCATTGAAATTACCATGTGTGTGGTTGAAGGGTTTGATGTTAGAATGTTGAAATTCCAATGTGCTTTTGGACCCTGACGTCACGAGGGGTGCCGCCGAGGATGTCCATAGCGAAACGGCTAGAAAAATCGCGAACGCGGCGCGTACGCATTAATCGCCTTTGAGCTTTACTCCCTCGGAGAGGTGCGTATGATAATATGTATGTGTATATATATACTAGAACAATCGCGCGCGCTTCGCGCGCGCTCAGGTTCTAGCCCAGGCCGGGGGGGCGCTGGACGATCTTGGACAACGCTATCAAGCACAGGCGCGCGACGGCATCTGAGGAGCTTCTGGGGTGTTCCACATGCTTCGTCAACTGGCTGTTAGAGGCACCTCTTGGGTGCCTCTTGGGGGGGCGTCTGAGGTTGGGGGCATCGGTTCTGCAATCTGAAGCCGTCATTGGCCGTCTTGGCTGCGTGGAAGCCCGACTTGAGGCCACCTGCGGCCAGATTGAGGCAATCCGGAAGCCTCCCGGGGGCCTCCTGGAAGCAGTTTTGATGCATTTGGGGCACTCTTGGGCTATTTTAAAACCTCTTGGACGTCTCCCAGGGGCCTTTTGGGCCCTCGGGGAGCTTTTGGGGTCCTCGTCGGACCACTTTGGGGCCTCTTGCAGCCTCCTGTGGGCCTTGTGGGGGGACCGCTCTGCTGTTGGGTCGCGTTCCCCTTCTCGGGCATCTCTTGGGGCTCTTGGGGCCCTCTCGGGCCGTCTTGGGCGCCTCAAGCACCGTCTTGGGGCCCTCGCGGGCCGTCTTGGGGCCCTCTTGGAGGCCTCTTCCTCTATGTGGGAGCGGTATTGGAAGCCTTTGGGGCCGTCTTGGAGCATCGGGATGCCAAAAGGCCGAAAAAAAAACGTCAAAGCCCAATCGTAAAACAATGAGTTGTGCCTCTTGGGGCCACCTTGGGAGATCTCTTGGAGCCTCGTCGGCCCTCTTGGGAGCTTCTTGGGGGCCTCTTGGATCCGATTGGGGGCCTCCTGGGACTTCCCGAGAACCTCTCGGGGTAGAAAGCTCGGATTCTCGGTTCATGTTTCCCTTCTTGGGCCTCTCTTGGGGCCGTCTTGGGGCCCTCTCGGGCCGTCTTGGGCGCCTCAGGCACCGCCTTGGGGCCCTCGTGGGCCGCCCAGGGCCCTCTTGGAAGCCTCTTCGGCTATCTTGGAGCTGTCTGGGAGGCCTCTTCCTCCTCCTCGTCCCCCTCCTCCTCCTCCTCCCACTCCAGCTCTCTCTCTCCTCCTGATCTTCCTCCTCCTGCAGCGTGTTCCGGAAGGCTCCCGCCGGAACATGCTGTGCACAAGTGCTGTCACTGCTCCCGCCACCGTGCCCTGGGTGGTGGGTCAGAGGCCTCATGGGTGTTGCTTTGGATCTCGTGGTTGGCCTGTCGGGGACGTCGTGAAGGCAGTTTCGCAGCTTCTCGGTAGCCGTTTTGGGACCGTTGTGGGGCCTCCTCGGGCTGCTTTGTGGCCTCTTTAGGCCTCGTTTGGGCCTCCTGGGTGCCTCTTGGGTGCCTCCTGGGGCCTCTTGGGGGCTCCTTGGAGCCTCCTGGGGCACTCTTCAAGCGGGAGGGTCGAATTTTGGAGTCGTGGTCCCCCTCTTGGGCGCATCTTGGGTCTTGGGGCTCTGTTGGGCTGTCTTGGGCGACTCTGGGGCCGTCTTGGGGCCCTCTTGGGCCGTCTTGGGGCGCTCTTGGGGGCCTATTGAGCCGTCGTGGAACGTCGGACAGCCGAAAAGGCTGAAAGGTCAAAATCGTTCGAAAACCTTCGTAAACTTGACGATTTCGGCCTCTGTAAGCGCTCTGGAGAGGCGTCTTGAAGCGTCGTGGAGTGCCTTGGGGGGCCTCTCGGGCCGTCCTGGGCCTATCTTGGGCGTCCTGGAGCGGTCTTTCGGCGACTCGGGGCCCGCTTGGGCCGTCTTGGGAGCCTCTGGAGGCCCTCCTGGACTATTTTGGACCTCCCCGGTCGCCTCTCCTCCCATGAGGAGTCGGAGGCGGCGCCCTCCGAGGCCCAGGACGCGGAAACCCTTTTAAAAACACAGGAAAAATTAGCCCCAGTACCCCCATGGAGGCTTTTCGGCGCTCTTGGACCGATGGGAGCTCGAAAACGCGAGAAGCCAAAAACATTGAAAAGAACATTGAACATATACGACTTTGGCCTCTCCGGGCCGTATCGCGATACCTATCAGACTTCTTGGGGTCTCTTGGAGGCCACCTGGGAGCCTCGAGAGCCGTCGGAAGGCTGACTTGGGCTGCTCGGGAGCGTCTTGGGCCATCCTTTCGCATTCTGGGGGCTCCTAGGGGGCGTCTTGGGCCCTCCTGGAGCGCTGTGGAGGCTGCCCAGAAAGGCTGGGGCAGCAGTGCCGGGAGCGTCCCCGAGATGTGGCCATATCTTTTCAGCGCGTTCCAGGAGCATCTTCCCGGAACGCGCTCGTGGCAGTGCGCCCACGTCCGAGGACGTTGGCATGGGAAACCGCAGCGCGTGATCATTCCAGCGCGTTCCGGCGAAGACCGTCCGGAACGCGCTTGGGCAAGCGCTGGGTTTGAGGAAGGCGAGTGGGAACCGTTCAGGCAGTTTGGGATGCTCGGGGCAAGAGGCGGAAGCCATCCTCAGAAGACATGCAGTCTTCCTGGAGCCGTCTTGCAGAAAACAAAAGAAAAATGAGACCCTGCAGTCGTTCCTGGAGCCGTCTTGGAGCCCTCTTGGGCTGCCCTGGAGCCTGTTGGAGCCCTCTGCGGAATGGTCTTGGAGCCCGCGCCGAGGATCTGGAAAATGTCCGGGACCATCGCGGCGGCCTCCGAGGCCCGGGACGCCGAAACCCCGTGAAAACACAGCGAAAATGAGCCCCGGTACTCGCATGGAGGGTCGGGCAGCTGTTTTCGGGCCCCTGGGTTAGAACCATCGCGCGCGCTTCGCGCGCGCGCTCAGGTTCTAGCCCAGGCCGGGGGGGCGCTGGACGATCTTGGACAACGCTATCAAGCACAGGCGCGCGACGGCATCTGAGGATCTTCTGGGGTGTTCCGCATGCTTCGTCAACTGGCTGTTGGAGGCACCTCTTGGGTGCTTCTTGGGGGGGCGTCTGAGGGTCCCTTCGGGGCATCGGTTCTGCAATCTGAAGCCGTCATTGGCCGTCTTGGCTGCGTGGAGGCCCGACTTGAGGCCACCTGCGGCCAGATCGAGGCAATCCGGAAGCCTCCGAGGGGCCTCCTGGAAGCAGTTTTGACGCATCGAGGGTACTCTTGGGCTATTTGAAAGCCTCTTGAACGTCTCCTGGTGGCCTGTTAGGCCCTCGGGGAAGCTTTTGGGGTCCTCGTCGGACCACTTGGGGGCCTCTTGCGGCCTCCTGTGGGCCTTGTGGGGGGACCGCTCTGCTGTTGGGTCGCGTTCCCCTTCTCGGGCATCTCTTGGGGCTCTTGGGGCCCTCTCGGGCCGTCTTGGGCGCCTCAAGCACCGTTTTGGGGCCCTCGCGGGCCGTCTTGGGGCCCTCTTGGAGGCCTCTTCCTCTATATGGGAGCGGTATTGGAAGCCTCTTGGGCC